AGATCCCGCTACCTCAACTTCTCGGCCGCCCCCCAATCCCCAGAGACGCAGGGCAGGAAGGCGCGCACACACACCCATTTTTATTAGCTCGCGCTGAGGCTGGGGCTTTGGACACACTTTAAAGTGTAATGTGTGTTTGCAAGTTTGTGCACAAGCCACAGAGAGGCAAAGGGCCGCCTTGGAGTCCGGGTCGCTGTGGGTTCACCGAGCATAGCTGGGTAGCAGGGTGAGTGTGTGTTTGCTTGCGCGTGTGAGGGATCTCTCGTATCCGTACCCAAGGCGCGACGTGAGCTAAAGAGCGAGTCGCGGGCGCTGTAAGCCTCGGGGCGGGGGTGCAGGGGAGGGAGAGGGGGGGGGGCCTTGGGTGGGCCCCCCCTCCGCCCCGCCCCGGGAACCAGCCCCCTTGGAGCCTCGGACTCAGCAATGGGACGTGTTCTCCTTTAAGAGTTAAGAAACTTGAAACCTTGTTTGCGCAACAATCAGCGCCGCGGAGCCGCCAAAGTGTCTAGACTGGCATATGATGGGAGGCAGCCAATGACTCCGCGGCGCTCCTCCGGGGGCCCTCAGTGTGCGTTTGAGGAGAACAAAAAAGAGAGAGGGCGCCGAGCGGGGGAGCGAGCGAGGGAGCCGAGCCCAGAGAAAGAGCCGCCGGGCGCTGCCTCGCCAAACCTCGCTGGGACCGCGGGGCCACCGGGAGGCACTTTGGTGGAGGGGGGAGGGGGGGCGCCCTCGGCAGCCGCGGCGCCCGAAGCGACCCAGCGCAGCGTGGGGCGGGCTGCGACCTCTGCCTCGGTGGATTGCATTTTTAATTAAGGATTCCTAGCAGCTCTTGGGAATTTTTACGGCTTCCACTCAGGTGTTGACACCCGCGTTCAGAAGAGATTTACCCCAAGTGCACCGAGCGCCCGGGACCTGAGACGGAGTTGCTTTTCGTGCGTGCAAATCCAAGCATTTGGGGTTTTGTTTGGGATCTTTTTCTAGCCTTGCTTTTATTTTTATTTTATTTTATTTCATTTCAGGGATCTGGGAATTATCCACAAGCCTGAGCTTCGGATCCTGCAGGGAAAGCCCATGCAGGGTAGCACTGGGCTTTTGAAGGCAGAGTTGTGCAGACACATTTGGGGGTACAACGCAAGCGCTTTGTGCTTGTGTACCAGCCACACAACTTTTGAAGGCTCGCCGGCCCATGCGTGGTGTTTCTAGCATCGCTTCGCCCGCGACTCCCCGAAGGCTCCAGGGCGGCTGGAGTTGAGCAGTCCCGGCCCACCGCGGTCCATGTAGCCCGCTGGTCCCGCGCGGACTGCGGCTTGGCGCGCGCGTGTT